CTCTCAACAGTAGCAAAAAGAGTGTGAGTGTTGTTCAACTTGCTGTTTATAAGGTTTGAGAAGAAGATCTGTCTAGCTGTGCCTAGTTCCACATTGAAAGCATGAAGGCTGTCTTTATAGATGTTATAGTGAATTTCAAGTTTCGTCTTCCGCCACATGCTTTTCTGCATTCTTTTCATACTCTGTACTGCTGTTGAGTTTCTCCGAGGTGCTTTTTGTTTGCCAGTCTTTATCCTGACTGACATCAATAAAAGTCTTAATAAATTTGAGTTAAATGAATCAAGAAAAAAAATCATCAGTCTGCAGTTATAGCCTTCATAAATAGCACACTAGTGTTCTCATTTATGCATCTCTTTTTGTGACAGACACAGATCTAGTTTCAGTGGTAGAAGAGATCAATACATCAAAGAAAACACAGAAGTGATCAGATGCTACGTCCTTAATGACAATAATGGATGATAATATTGGTTAATTATTATTAATCAATAATGATTAATAATGGATGAAATGTTCAGACCCTTACTGATGAGTATATTTTATATATTTTTTAATTAGAAGGACCTTTTCCACTATACTGTAAATAACCTTTTTGGATGTTAAAGGTTCCTCATGGAACCACAGGTGCCAATAAATAACCTAAATTTATGAGAGTGTCATTCCTGGACAAAGCAAACTCAAAATACTTTGTGACAAACTCACCGCAAAGGGGATGTCATTAAAAACATGTAGAGAAGAAATTAGAATTCTGTAGGTAATAGGTCCAATTTATTGGAGATGTATTACTTCACCTAATATTTGTATACCCTTTAAGACATGAGATAGTTCTTTTGTTGATTCTGACACATCATTCCTGTTCAAAAACATAGTCCATACCCTAAACCTAACCCTAACCATAACATACCCCTAACATTAAAGGGAAATAAATATGAAGTAGAATGATTGTAGAATGGTTCTAACCCATTATAACCCTGAGCTTGACATTAACTGTAATCTGATTGGTTGATTGAAATGTTGTTCCAGGATCAAGGATGTTGATTCAGGAACATGTTCTGTTTGGTGAAATCACATTCATTTGGCTTTTATGGGTTACGTCATTATACTTGCTTGAGTTGGATCGAAGAGCGTCACAAATCACTCACTTATGAGGTTCATTTCAACAGCCCATCCAGGCAGTGGACATAAAGTCAAGAGCCCATTTTTAAGTTACTGTAATAAGATTTGTAGTTTTTACATTCCAAAATTAGAGAAACAATGTCAAATTAACAATTAACTTTTCCTACAGTACATAAGGGATCAATGAACTAACCAGTTTTTGATGTTGCACCATAACGTTTGGATACACCTTATTAAATAAATTCACATTTGTTCAGAATTACTGGCATTATATAATGTGATGACATAAGAGCTGACTTTGCATGTTAATATAGTCTTTAATTAGAAGGTAAACAGATATAAACATATTCCTTCCAATCACTGGTTTAGAACATTTACAGTTCTTGGCAAGATGACTTTCATCAAACCAGACTTCTAAAACACTTTGTCTTAGTGGGTTTAGACTTTAGGGTTCTAAGCGATTTATTTAAATCTCTTAAATGCCTTTGAATGCTCAGACTTGTGCCCGAGTCAAGGCAGCATTGATATATGTGCTATGTGTTCCCCAGAAATAACTTGCAAGTGTCTTGATGGAAGAGTGTAGTAATATCTCACAGCAAGAACTGGCCAATCTGGTGCTGTTCATGAGGATGAGATGCACTGTAGCACTTAAACACCACATACAGACTGCTACTCCGTATATAAACAGTAGAACTCTATTTGTACAGAGATTATAGCTTTTATGTATATTAATACAGCAGGGTTTAATGATACATTGTCAAAGAAAGTTTGTAAGGTACATAAAGTGGGGAAAAAAAATAAATATTTTTTTTTTACTCCACATTGATCAGACAAAAAGATTTAGACAAACCAGTGAATGAGGCATCATGTTTTTACACTGAACGTGCAAACACCCAGAAGACCAACATTAATTATAAACCTAGAGACAACTTACTGAAGACAAGCATAAATACCAACATTCTAAATGTGTACCATGATTTTATTCCTAAAATGTCTCTCTCCCTATATAGTTTAATAACACAATAGATTGTGATGGATATACTATCAGATGTCCCTCCTGATCACAACAGGTAACAAAATATATTCTCTATCCACCTTATTCAAGTTTTACTTCCACATTGAAAAATAAGGTGGATATAAATCACAACACATTTGCATTCTATGTGTAAAGTGGTTTGAAGAGACTTTTGATCTTTGAATCACTTTATCTCTTGGGATCCTTATCTTCATTTACAGTACACTTCAACTGATTTAAGATACTCCTTGTCATGTTGAATATAAATGAATGCGATTCAACACATCAATAAAATACCTGATCCCATTGAAATAATACATTACCTCATAAAAAGGGCAAGACCTCAATTAAAAAATACTAATACTCCTACAAATAGTTTACATTTGATCACATTAGGTTCCAAATGTCAGTGTATACAGAGAAATTCTACAGAACAAGTACAAAGAATAATAAAAGCCTTTCATGTAAATGACAGACAAAGCAGTACCACAGTACTGTAAAATGTAGAAGTGAGTCTGACATCCAGGTTCAAAGTCCTTTTAGCTATAATTTATCACATACTGTTTTACCACAATCAAACAAGTCATTAAAATCATAAAACGGTGTCTGTATGACATGTTATCAATACTTCTTTCACAGTGGTTAGTGGCGGCTAAGTACATGGCATAGTAAAACATTAACTGGGCATAATAAAAAAAAAGGTCTATAGCAACAAAATATCACTCTCTAATTAATATATACATTTTCACTTTTCAAAGCTTTGTTGAGCATGTAATCTTTTAAAAAGCACTTTTAGTTAGATAAACATAAAAGAATTTGAAGAGCCCAACCCATCAAACGTAATTCCTCCAATCATCTCATTTCAAAAGTACTCAAATATTTAAATATTTACGCATTTAAGAGCAAATAAACACATGGATGAGATAATTAACTATTTCCTCATATGTAAACAATCAGAACATTAACCTACCTAAGTTTATACTCTTACAACTACCTTGGCTAACATTGAACTTGCAAGAGCACACTCTTGCTCAAACAGTTTGGTAGAGATAGACAAACTGGTGTTTTTAAAATGAGGATCTTTGCTTTGTTTTCCAGTACAATATCTAAATATCCTCAAAACAAGATTAATTCACATTCTAAGTGAAACTCTATAATAGAGTCTCATGAATAGGCGTGTATTTTCTCACTTGTTTTACATGGAAGTATAATTAAGTAACTCAAGTATGTCCCCCTGTAATGCAAAGGCCTCTCTTGGTCTATAAAATGATAGCAACAACACTTTTGGCCCTTATGTGCAATAAATATTAAAATAATAAACAATCTTTTAACCAAGTAATATAGCTAACCCAACTGTAGGCTGTTCACCTAAATGTCTTCATTAAAAAGTCAGTATTAGAACATTCCCATAATTTTCATACTCAATTAATTGAACATGATTGTGCACTTGGAAATCTAAGATTTTTTGCTAGTAATTTGCCCAGGGTTTTTCTAATATACACACACCCATAGAGCACAACTTGAATCCTGTTAATTATTTAATTTTGGTTGAAATGACACAACTGTAGTCGCGATTATAAAATAATTTTATTATTTTCATTCGTTGTATAATTGTTGGCGATTCTATTATTTTCAATTGGATCCTTTTATTTTCTTTAAATTTCTGCATTATTTTTTGCCTCTTTCACCCATATTTATCCATTGTTGGTTGGGTGTCTTTTTTCATTTGTTCAATTTATGGTTAAAGGGGTCATATGATGTTGCTAAAAAGAACATTATTTTCTGTATTTGGTGTAATGAAATGTGTTTATGCGGTTTAAGGTTCAAAAAACACATTATTTTCCACATACTGTACATTATTGTTTCTCCTCTATGCCCCGCCTTTTTGAAACGCGTCGATTTTTACAAAGCTCATCGGTCTGAAAAGCAAGGTGTGCTCTGATTGGCCAGCTATCCAATGCGTTGTGATTGGCCGAATACCTCAGGCGTGTGACGGAAATGTTACGCCCCTCACATACTGTGATGCCTGCGGCAACCACATGTGACGACCCCGGGCTGGACTCCGCTTCGTACACGGTGAAAGCCGATCCGGCGATCGACAGTGAGAAGTTGAAGTATTTCCTCAGTGACTAGCACGGATCAGCTCTAAGCATGACGAAGCGATATCGTACACTTTTGGAAGACCAAACAAAGTAGTTTCGCTTTCACAACGAAAAAGGTCGAGGGTCTGTCCATATAAACTTCCCTCGTCCACTTCACGAAGTGGAACGCACTTCAAAATGGCAGCGGGGATTCCCCCGAGGAGAAGTGCATGTCTAAAAGTGGAGTTTTTCAAGCGATCCTGAAGAGCTTGATGAGCTGCTTCAGGTGTGTTTGATTAGGTGTAGCTAAACTCTGCGAGACAGTGGGTCTCCAGGAGCAGGAACTACTTTATTCACAATGATGTTGATATTCAGCTTTATGCATTCAAAGTCGGTGTAAATCTGTAGATAGCTGAATGGCATTTTTATGTGACACTTATACAAGAAACACACAGCCCTGTTATAGTTCCGATTCAACCTGCATCTACAACGTCAAATTGAAATGAAAATTCTTTCTGTAAACAAAAACAAAAAAACACAGTTTCTTTGTCAATAAATACATCTTGAAGTTAATTATTGGACCACGATTTCTTCAAAAACAGCATCCAGTGTTGGGTTAAGAAGAGGACAGCGCTTCATTGCTCTAGTGTCCCGTTTGACAGAGGAACGTCCCATTCTCTGCTGGTCACTAGGACACTGTGTTGGACAGTCCATACTTTTGTATGAAGTGAAGGAGATAGTTTCTTTGTCAATAAATACATCTTGAAGTTAATTATTGCATCCAGTGTTGGGTTAAGAAGAGGACAGCGCTTCATTGCTCTAGTGTCCCGTTTGACAGAGGAACGTCCCATTCTCTGCTGGTCACTAGGACACTGTGTTGGACAGTCCATACTTTTGTATGAAGTGAAGGAGAACAAAACCGATGGACAAACGCCACACCGTTCTTTGGTCTTTATGCTTTTGATCACTGGAGCGTCTCTATACTTTAGCGGAAGTGCTTTTAGAAGGCAGCCAGCTGAACTGATTGAGTTCATGTGGCGTCAGCAGGTCTAAATACAGCAGCTTTTGCTCTTTCTCACTATCCACTGATTTATATCCAAGCAGAGTCATGGCTCTTTTGCAAACATCCTGGATGCGCTGGACTTTTTCAAACGGTAAGGTGGTTCGCCAAGCCAAGGAGACGTCCTCTGCATTTCGCGAGGTGATCTTGAAGGCATCGTTCTTCGTTCCCTTGCCCTTCCCATGGGTGATGCGGTAGATCCACTCCTGCAAAGTTTCGGTCATCTCCAGCCCCACAAACTCGTACATGGCTTCGATCTCGGCCACAGTGTTACGCGCTAGATCCTCGTAACGTATCATTTTGTAGCGTCCCCGTAGGAAATCGGGCGGCTTTAACATGGCCGTCTCATAAATGCGAACATGACTGCGGCAAATCTCCTGCAAGACCTTGTACGGCTTATCCTTTTCCGGAAGGCTCGCCTGTTCGAGCACTATGGCGCTATCTTGCACCAGGGCGTAGGCCGACTTCTCTCGGGAACGAAGCACCGCTCGTGGGTCACGAACTAGATGGATGATGCGCAGATCCAGAGTGGGGTCCTGCAGTAGCGGGTACAGCGACTCCAACTCGAAGAAGCGCACCTCTTTTAACACCACATGGCTGTAAGTCCGACACGCTGCCTCCGCAAGCTTCAAACCCTGCGAGTCGCAGTGCTGCTTGCATTCTTGCTCTTTGCTAATCTCGTTGCGAGCTGTGAGAAAACAAGCGGGTGGAGAGCAGAGCGCGTGGCTGTGGCTCCACATGAAGAGACTGGAGACGTTGCGTGGCTGGGGGATGTAAGCGTCCATCACCGACATGTCGCACTGAAAGACGCTGCGAATCATATCGCGCACCGCCATTCGCAAGCTACGTGCACCGGCTTGCTTTATAGACATCCACACGTGCCAGCCTGGCTCCATCAGGTAAAAGACCTCCGGATGCTGGTTAAACACCTGGCCCAGGAATGATGAGCCAGACCTCCAAGATGACAGCAGCAGCACATGCACCTTGCCCTCGGACGGAGAGGTGTTTTGAGACGGTGGACGGCTGTACCATCCGTACAGAAGCACCACTGCAACAGCCTGAATTAGCAAAAGACTCAGCACCGTGGGCTTCGACACTCTCCACCGCAGCATACTGTCAACTTTATTCACCTGCAAAAGCAAGCACATTCATACTTTAATAACTGTTTCATGTACTGGCATTTTTATGTGACAAAATAATATTCTAGTTTTAAAGGATTACTTATAATGGCTTTAACCCTGTAAAGCTTGACATAGGAAATAATAGGCAGAGAAATGCAAGGTTTTTTGAACATTTAGGTTAAAAGTTTGCATATGTGATTGATTGATTGATTGATTGATTGATGAGTATCAAATTTGATTCATCAGGGTTTTGTGGCTCTTATAGTCAGGGATGGGCAGTATTTCAGATACATGTATTTAAAATATGTATTTGAAATACAAAATACTAATGCTAAAATGCTTGTTTTCAACTTCCAAATAGGTGTCCAGTGATTGATTAATACATATTTGATTGCTGAATATTGTAGCCTAATTGAAGTAGCTGTTTAGTAGGATCATGATTTTGCATACCATTGAATGAATGACTGCCTGGCATATAATATATTATTATATTTATGATTAACAATGAAATGATTAATTAGTTAGAAACTAGTTGCTATGAATACAGGTGCCATTATGAATGACTTGTTTGTCATTGAGTCAGTGTTTCTGATGCAAAGTAGGCCCTTCATTACCAAACACCAAGTAACTATATTAGGAGGATATAATGGAGTCATTCGCGAACTGTTAAACATTAAACTGTTGGTTACTTTAAAACTAACCTTCATCTGGGAGATCACAGGGATATGTGAATATTTGATCTATTAACTGGTTGCATGTCAGATTTATTGCATGACTCAGGCAGAGAAAAGCTGTTGCTATCAAACATTGGTTGCTTAATCAACTGAGTCAGTGTAATGGTGAGGAATAGATCAAACAGGCCAATTGATGGAAGGTTTACAAAGAAATTTCTTGCTCCCTTGTAGAAGTATTTGTTATTTAATTTTAAAATACATTTTGATGTATCTTTGCCCAACCCTGCTTATAGTATGATATTGAAGAATATGAAGCTTATACTCGAGAGAAAAACACTTAAAATTTATTCAGGCTCAAACTCAGCAGAAGTATGCAATTTGGTGCAGATTTATGATCAAAGCTCTAATTTTTTTTTTTGGTAACAAACACTTTTCTTACATTTACTTTCTAAAAATTAGTAAAGATTTTACAGCAAAAAGGCATGTGTACCACAACCTTAATGTGGACATTTTTACAATTATACTAAAAGGCCTTTTGCTTGGTAAAAAGTATAAACTTTAGATTAAACTATCATTATTAAATATGATTTATAGTTGTTTTTTTTAAAGTGATACAACTGTACTTTGCAATTTTAGTTTTCTACTTTAATGAACTGAAAAAAAAAACCCTGATGACTGGTCAACACATTGGGGCATTGCTATTAAACGCCAAAGAACTACTAAAATACTCTAAAACGAGTCTGAATATCAAGGGAAGTCACATTTAGTACTTCTGGAAATATTTGATCAAAGCAAGAGGTTAAACCAGGACCAAAAAAGGGGGGGAACTCGCCAAGAGTCAAATGGGAGTAAAAATTGGCTTTGGGGAGTAAATTAAGTTAAGTTACGACCACCTTTATATTTAAATAAAGCTATATCAATAACATGACCCTCATGAATCAAATCTAAGAGATAAAAACAGTCCACTAAAGTAAACCTCATTCACACTTCTCTGTCACAAACCTAACAGCTACCACAGTGGAAAGATTTTCCATCAGATATTCAGCTATTAAACACAGGTCGACTCCAATGAGCTTCAGTCGGTGACCAGTATGTTGTCTAATGAATCAATCTGCGAGATGGACAAAATTAAAACGGCTCTGACCACTTCCAATCAAAGAATTAAAGCTGGCACAACTTTAAGAAAATCCAATAAACCAAAGGAAAACAAAAGCTTTCATAAACGCTCCTCTACACACACAGAAAACTCTTTCCTGTAGAGCTAAAGATATGTTTCACCAGTTCACTGAAATCACTTTATCCACATCAAATCAATAGGCCTACCGCATATGACCAGACATGCACAGATATTAAATGAAATGCAAACGAAAATAGAAAGGCAATGCACACTGTACCAATGGAAAACTTCCCTCTGAAAACACAATGTGCGTTCACTCAACATGTTAATGTTCCTGAGCTAAAAACTTTAGGAGTCAGCGGTCCACGGTAGTCCTTAAGATATCAGCACAATAACACAACAAAATACCGTCTAATTATTGTTATAGATAAAATCTCAGAAAATATTGAGATATATTTTTGTCAATATTGCACACCCCTATTATATTTAACGTTTTGTTTAGAATTTTTTTTAAATGAATATGAGAAGTGCCCTTTTTTCCACTTGAGCCCCTGCCCCTTAAAGGGGTCATATGATGCTGCTAAAAAGAACATTATTTTGTGTATTTGGTGTAATGAAATGGGTTTATGCGGTTTAAAGTTCAAAAAACACATTATTTTCCACATACTGTATATTGTTTCTCCTCTATGCCCCGCCTTTTTGAAACGCGTCGATTTTTACAAAACTAATCGGTCTGAAAAGCGAGGTGTGCTCTGATTAGCCAGCTATCCAGTGCGTTGAAATGTGTTTATGCGGTTTAAGGTTCAAAAAACACATTATTTTCCACATACTGTGCATTATTGTTTCTCCTCTATGCCCCGCCTTTCTGAAACGCGTTGATTTTTACAAAGCTCATCGGTCTGAAAAAGCGAGGTGTGCTGTGATTGGCCAGCTATCCAGTGCGTTGTGATTGGCCGAATACTTCAAGCGTGTGACGGAAATGTTATGTCCCTTACCATATTGTGATGCCTGCGGCAACCACATGTGATGACCCCGGGCTGGACTCCGCTTCGTCCACTGTGAAAGCCGATCCGGCGATCCACAGCACTAAGTTGATGTATTTCCTCAGCGACCAGCACAGATCAGCTCTAGGCATGAAGAAGCGGATATCGTCCTCTTTAAGACCAAATAAAATAGTTTCGCTTTCACAACGAAGCACACAGCGTCTTCAGGACATGGCTGCAGCGTCAACAATACTACAGTGAGAATAAAAGTTATGCCTTCTTTCTTTGCGTGAACATTTGGGAGGCGTTATGCAAATCTTCCCAGATCGTGACGTAGACATGTGGGGGCGTGTTAGAACGAGCCGTTTTAGGTAGGTGTGGTTAACTCTTAACTTTTATAAAGAATATCTCTTTGGTTTTGAGACTTTAGTGTTTGCAACTTTACAGATCTTCTTTATGCACCAAGAGCTTGTAACACTCCAAAGAGAAAGGAAAAATTGATATATGTCATCATATGACCCCTTTAAAATGTCTGTGCACGTGCCTGCTTCTGATGCTTTTGGGAAAGCAGCCCTATTTGAACAAGCAGCACTCTGTGAGCGAAGCGTCAGCAGCGAGCGCTGTCTGTGATTGATTGGTTCGGTCTTTCAGCATTTGCGTATGTTATATAGTTCAATCCTACACAATTATTCGCTAACATAGTCTATTTTTCCACTCAAAAGCTTTTTTTATGCACCAAATTTCTTGCTAAATAAATAAAATTATTGGTTAAAAATGCACTTTACAGTCGATACATTTTTTTATTAGAGGATCGATCCTTTCGATACAACATCAGTATCGAAAGTTTTTTTATTTTTTATTATTATGCTTCCATTTACAACAAACAAACAAGGTACATAAACATCACATAATCTAACAACACGTGAACAGCCTTAGGTTGAGCATAACCAGTGACAAACAATATCACAATAAACCAATAATAAAGAAAAGAAAAGAAAAGAAATAAATAGAACAAATAAAACAAACCAAAAGGGGCTTTTTACATTAGTTTATACATGCCCCAACAACGAAATCAATTTGAGAGCTTTCTTGTTTTTAACCAATTCTAAAGATTTGCACAATTTTAACCTCATTCATCCACTGGTTAAAGTTGGGTTTAGATTTAAACCATCTACATTTATGAATGAAAAACTTTCCAAGACAAAGCAAGAAATATCAGTATCGAAAGTATCGATGCTTCAGGATGGATCCGCCCATTCATACATAGTGGCATGTGCCAATGGCTTCCGCGCGTCAGATGCAATAACGTTAATACCGCTACTGTCTCCATTTGCGCTTGTGCGCATTAGAAGACACAACCTCATCTGCCACATTAAAATTGGGTTGTTTCTCACATAAAGCTTTTGCATGGTTACCGAAAACTTTTTATTTTATTTTTTTTTTTTACAAAAATTAGTATATCATACCGGTTTGGAGAACCATCATGAGGGACTTTGTGACGACAGGATTTTCATTACTTGGTGAACTGTCGCGCTAAGAGCGTTGTACACCTGACCGAGAGAAACAGGTGGGAAATGTAGTGTGATAGATGAGTATACGATCAGAGGGAACGGGGAGACATTTACTGTGAGACATCAGTCACAAGCAAACCAACAAACCCTTTGTAGCGATTCATCTTTTGAGCCATCAAGTGTTTCTACAATATAATTACTTAAATAATATTCTTGTTAAGTTTAGATGCGGTTAACATCGCCAGAGAATATAAACGTGTTATATTAGACACACGTGACTCCCAAACTTGACTGCTCCAGGTTCACAACCATCCACTTTAAAACGTCTAAAAAGTAACACTCCCGTCACAAACAGATCATTTTAAGAGTCCCTCCACAAATACTTTGACGAAATTACATATTTTCATGTAATACTGCATGTCTGTAGGAGAGGCTGCATACTATTAAAGCGTGCCTTACCTCCTGCTCAGCAGTGCGTTTGCGTTCAGGGACACAACGTTTCTGGCTGTAACCTCTCTGGATGTAAAAAAAGCTTTGAGACGTGGTCTTTAAGGGTGATTGACAGCAGGTGGGCGGAGCTCCACATTGAGTAGCCTTCTGTAAGATGCTCTCTCAAGAACACTAAAATGAGATGAACTTCTCAGAGTGGACGCTTTGTCTCCTATTCCATTGTGCTATCAATAATACAAAACTCATTTAAAACGCGTATAGGTGTGATGCAACTATGTGTACTATACTACACAAGACACACGTTTCTGGCTGTAACCTCTCTGGATGTGAAAAAAGCTTTGAGACGTGGTCTTTAAGGGTGATTGACAGCAGGTGGGCGGAGCTCCACAGTGAGTAGCCTTCTGTAAGATGCTCTCTCAAGAACACTAAAATGAGATGAACTTCTCAGAGTGGACGCTTTGTCTCCTATTCCATTGTGCTATCAATAATACAAAACTCATTTAAAACGCGTATAGGTGTGATGCAACTATGTGTACTATACTACACAAGACACACATTATCTAACTAACCTAGCTATATCTGAGATTTCCTAAAAAGTGAATATACACCAACTAAATCTATAAATTCACATATTCAGAAAGAGCTACATGTGGCACATTCGGTCACAAGAATTAATGAAACAGGAAAACATTGCATCTGTATCCAAATCCTGTCCATTGTGCCAAACTTCCTGTGCTTGATCTCATTGGTGGAGCAGAAGAGCACAGAGAATACTGAATGTGTATCTGTGGAGCCAACTGAGACAAGACAAACATAAGCAAACATATGATGCACTTTTGTTTGGTTTGAGTCAACGTTAGTTTAAAAGCATTTTATTGACAGTTAATTCATCTGTATTCTTTTTACTGACAATAATCTTCCAGATGATGTTTATCACATTATTTATTGTAACATAGGCTGTCAAACGGCAACATTAAATATCCAAACTCAAAGCATGTACCAAAACACCATGCTAATATTATGAAACCTTTCTGCCTATGTGGCTGACAGCACTAATTAAGCATCAAGCATAATAATGCAACTGTGTGTTGATGAGCATTATGCATTTAACCGTTACTCGTGAGGAATCAGTAATTAAGAAAAATGTCCTTCTGAACGTACACCTCAAGGATTTGTCATGGTATTTGTGGATTTAAAAAAAAAATCAAACAGCACGAGTTCTCTGAGGCCATTTTATTCAACCTGAGTTTATCAGTTAGTTTAACTCGCTTATAAAACACGCTTTGTTTGAGGTTTGACTTGAAATATTTCTTTTATCAGACTTTCCACACAACAAAGAATATTTTGTGCAGTATGTGGTGGAACATGAAGTACTTTAAAACCAGAAAAAGCAGCGATTCCACAAGCATCCTGGTGGGAATTCCTTATGAATGCACTTGAACTGAACAAAGAGAGCTATGTATATAGACAAACATTAGCAAACACAAGTCCTCAATAACAAATGAAGGTCCTCATAATTGTACAATAAAAAATAAAAACACAAAAAATGTCAGGAGCTGTGCTGTTTAAACGGCGCTACTGCGGTGGTTGGTAAAACCTGGTTTTGAAAGACAAATGTTTGAATGTGCTGGAAAACCCAAAGAAAGATGAGCAGGACGCTGACATACTGAATCCAGGCAAACTTGATCATTTCCCAGAAGCCCGGCTGATAGGTAGAGAAACCAGTCAAGGAAATTAAACTTGAATTGATCAAATAAAACATGAGTGGAGAGTCTAGGAATGCACAGAAGTCAGGAAGTGACTCAAAGTCACTTCATGTGTCATGAGAGTTTGGGCTCTAGCCACAAATTAAAAAGCATAAAGCAACAATTTCCTGTCAATGCGTTTTTTATCAAAATCATGTTATCTGAAAGAAACTTCAGATTTACGTTTTTTGCTTTTTTTTTAATTGGAATCAGGATTTTGTTGTAGACCAGATGGTTGATGTTAGTAACCATGCATGAAACAATAAGAACATGCACTATATACCCTCAAATGGAGTATCTTTTACAGCAAAGGGATAGTTTCCCCAAAAATTTAAATTCTGTCATCATTTACTCACCCTTATGTTGGGGTCCTGTGATACTTTTTTCAGGATTCTTTGATGAATAAAAAGTAAAACAGCATTTATTTAAAATATAAATATTTTGTAACAATATACACTACCGTTCAAACTTTGGGGTCAGTACAGAAATATTATTACAATTTTATTATTATAATTTACGGTTTTCTATTTTAATATACTTTAATATAAAATTTATTCCTGTGATCAAAGCTGTATTTTCAGCATCATTACCCCAGTCTTCAGTGTCACATGATCCTTCAGAAATCTGATAAAAAAGTGACAGTAAAGACTTACGTAAATTGTTAGAAAAGATTTAGATTTTGTATAAACTTTTTATTCATCAAAGAATCCTGGAAAAAGTATCACAGGTTCCAAAAAAATACTTAGCAGCACAACCTGTTTTCAACATTGATAATAAATCAGCATATTAGAATGATTTCTGAAGGATCATGTGACACAGAAGACTGAAGTAATGATGCTGAAAATACAGCTTTGATCACAGGAATAAATTATATTTTAAAGTATATTAAAATGGAAAATGGTTATTTTAAATTGTAATAATATTTCACAATATTGGTGTTTTTTCTGTATTTTTGATCAAATAAATGCAGCCTTGATGAGCAGAAGAGACTTCTTTAAAAACATTAAAAATCTTACTGATCTGAACAGCACTGTATGACTTTCTTTAGTGGAACAATGTTGTTTGGACCCCAGAGCTCTTCAAAATAGCTTCTTTTGTGTTCCACAGAAGAAAGCAAGCATGGAGATTTTCATTTTTGGGTGAACTATGACATTTACAAAAACTGTCTCTCTCTCACTGAATATTTAATACATATATGTGACCCTGGACCACAAAACCAGTCATAAGGGTCAATTTTTCGAAATTGAGATTTATACATCATCTGAAAGCTGAATAAATAAGCTTTCATTGATGTATGGTTTGTTAGGATAGGAGGACAATATTTGTTCGAGATAC